TGTCACAGATGGATGAATAGTGAGTACCTCCTTTCTCTTATCTCGCTTCCTTTTCACCTCATGAAACGTATCTGCAGAACCAATAGATTGTTACGATCACTAGTTAATAACTTTGTACATACCTCAGAAATTTGTAAAACAAAATAATAATAAGGATAAATTCCTGAACTAGGCACATCACACACACACCCCATTACCATCACCACCACCTCAAGCAAACCATTACAGCAATTTCCACTTCGACTTAAAAAATAAAATTAAATAAAATTAAATAAATAAAAAGCAATCATCCCACCTATGACATAACCCCCCATCCCCAACAAACAAGCTTCCTGAATTCGATTCAAAGCCAGCCCGTGGACTGAATTACCTTATCCTTGCTTCAAGTATTTTCGCCACCACAACCAAAGCTATTGGTCGGATTTAAGTCAAGCAACATACCATTCCCAATAATTAAACATTTTTTCTCTCAATTAATCAACGGAGTTAAAAAATCAACACCATGGAGTTAAAAATCAACACCTATATAACACATATCCAGCAAACCCACAAAATAGGGCAATGAAGCTAAAACTCAAACCCTACCAATCACCCACAAAAGCAAATAAAAAGGGGGAAATCAAACATAAGGTACAAAAAACAGCATAAAACCAAAAACCCATTACATAAATCATCAAAAATGCATCAACCCATAAAAACCCCAGAAAATAAAAAAGGCATAATCTCAATTAAAGTACAAAAAATGCAAAAAAAAACAGGGGAAAAATAGGGGAAAAAAAGAGAGAGAGAGAAAAAGGAAGTAAACCAAGATGAAGGAGTCTCTGAGTGGTTTCATTAGGATCCATAGAACAGTCTTTAAGCATAGAATAGATGTCTTCTTCGCTGTGATTACTGGTGATCTCTTTGATATGCTGAATGGTTTTGCGGACATTGTTAGGGATCGAAACCCTAGAAGAAGAAGATGAAGAAGAAGACGAAGAAGAGGAGGAGGCGCCGCTGTTGTTGCTCATTGTTTGGAGTTGGTTGAAGCTCAGACAGGAGAGACAGAGAAAGAAAGAGAAAGAGAGAGAGAGAGAAAGTAGAAATGGGAGATTTGAAGAGGGAGATTTTTGTTTTAATTATTTTATTACATTATATAAGGAAAAATTTTGAGCAAAATTAAATGTTAATCGGACTATTTTTTTTTTTTTTCTTCTGTTAGAAATATGTAAATGGTAAATGATGTAAACGAGATTCTAAATTTAAAGCTCAATTATTGGAGAATTATTATTTGATTAACATCTTATAAGCAGATTTCTCATTTTAATACAATTTTATAAGCAATTCTTCACACATTGAATTTCTCCATACACGATTTCAATTTTTAATTATGATTCACTCTTTCCAATCACCACATTAATTATCTTGATTTCTTTTTTTGAAAACATAGGATTATTCAATGTTAAAAGCAATATATCAATTATATTACTCGGAATTGTTTCTCTCTTTTTAAAATCATTTTTTTTTATTTAGTCATTAATTTTAAATGAGAAGAACAAATAGAATCGAATAAAATACAAATAAGTGTTCCTAATTAAGTATATGTGTCATCTCATCAAGCACAGAGGGGCTATTAAGTGAGATGACAAGTGTCTCTAATTAAATATATGTGACATTTCACTTGTCATCTGATGTCATTTAAGCACTGAACATATGACATGACACGTGTCACTTTTGTATTCGTTCTAACACGTATTATACAGTTATATATGACAGCCTAATACTTACTTTTTTTACTTCCAGCCTAATACTTACTTTTTTTACTTCCAGCCTATCACATGCTTAAGCATTAATGGAGTGTTAACAAGTTATACAGTTATATATGACAGCCTAATACTTTCTTAAGCATGAATGGAGTGCTAACATGTGTTTTCCATTAACCATGACATGTCACGTGTCACCTTTGTATTCGTTCTAGCACGTATTATACAGCTATATATGACAGCCTAAAACTTACTTAAGTATGAATGGAGTGTTATCTAGTTAACCTGTTATATATGACAACCCAATACTTACTTAAGTATGAATGGAGTGCTAGCAGGTGTTTCCATTAAGCATGACATGTGTCTCTTCTTTAATCTAACACATAGAGGTGGGCAGCGTGCCGTGTCGAGCCACTGTGGGTCGTGCCTCGCCGTGCCTAGTGATGGCTCGTGACAGGCCGTGTCGTGCCTGCAACTTGGCGGGTCGTGCCGTGCCAAGCCCGGTCACCATTTGGCACACCCCAGCCCACGGCACGACCCACGTGCCTGGCGTGCTGGGTCGAGCAATGGGCCGCCCAGAATTTTTTATTTTTTTTTTCTTTTTTTAAAATCGACATATATTTTTTTTTGAACAACTTTTAAAATGAGTATATTTAAATAATTTTATTAATTTATGTTTATGTTTTTGTATTATTGTTCTTTTTACTATTCTTATTTTTATTATTATATAGCTCTTTTACTCTTTATTATTATTTATGTTAATTTTATTATTAATTCATTATTATAGCCATTTTATAGTCGTTTTATGGCTGTTGGAAGCAGCGAAATATAGCTGTTTTTCATGGGCCGTGCCTGGCGTGCCACGTGCCGTGCTGGAGGGCCGTGTCGGCGGGCTAAATTACCGTGCAGTGCTCGTGCCGCCCGTGGGCCAGCACGACCCATGTCCACCTCTACTAACACATATTAGGCATGATAACCAAAAAGTGAGGCTTGAAATTTAAGATCGACATGTATTAGAGTAGAAGTCTTACCATTTTAGCCACATATTTAATGTGTTTTCTAACTCGGATCAACACATAAATATAACTAACCTGGATAAGATGAGGGTTTAGTTATACCAAGAGTGCGTTGGTTGGGCAGTATTTAGGAAAGGGAAATGGAATCAACAGGGATGATTACCTTAGTTGTTGTTTGTTAGGGTAATTTAATCATTCCTTTTCCCCACTTAATTACCCTAAGATCCTCTACTGCCAATCCCCTTCCCTTTCACCCTCCATGGTATTTGTTCTCTCTGTTATTCCTATGCCACCAACACCTAACACCCCACACCTTCCTCACCGTCGTAGCACCTTAACGGCCTAACCTACCTCAAACCACCTTCACACCTCACCAAAACCACCACAACCCACTTGAAACCACCACCACCTCGTTGATAGAGTGTCGCCAACTTATCAAAAAATAACCTATCTCGATCTCACTAACTAGCTAGTAGCAAGGGTAAGAAAAAGGTGAACCCATAAAAGGCATTGGATCATCCACCAAACATTATTATTTAAACAAGCTAGTTTATTTCAATGATTTTGGTTTGATTTTATCTGTCAACTACTAATTTAAGTCAACTAAAGTATAAGAGGGAAAATTACACTATTAAGAAGGTCTAAGACATGGGCTACATTGCTCAATTTTATCACAAACTACAAGTAATCCACTATATGTATGAGGGTGACTTTTGCCTAGTTAAGAGATGTGAGAACTTTACATTAGACTCCTTTCATGTGTGCGTGTTGTAAAGGGCATATGGACATGTAGGTATTAAAAATATTGGAGTATGTATGTACATGTTGTAAGTGTTGATTGAACATTTGAGCATGATTTTTTTTGCATTCTTATTTGTTGTTAGGGGTCGATGGTGGTGAGGATAGGATGATAACTTATGGTGGTGGTGGCGCAATAATGGTGTGACGGTGGTGTGGAATATGTAGTTCGAATGTTCTTTACAAAAATGTTTCTCGATATAGTTCGAATATTCAATAGTGATAGTGATGTCATAGTGTGGTGATATCAAAAGTAGCAATATGTAGTTCGAATGTTCTTTACAAAAATGTTGATAAGAATAATAACATTAGAGGTATTTCTCATTCAAATATGAGCAAGCCCCACTTTATAACATAAATAAACAAATTATGTTTTTCAAATGGCATTTTCGTAAATAAGTTGCATAGAAAGTTGTGTTTTTGGATTGAAAAATATATATTTTTACTGTTTGTGGGCCACTATAACAAATTGGACAGATTTTCAAAGTTAACACCGTTGACTCTCCGTTTGCTACTATTCATCATCTTCTTCCTCCCATCTTCTTCTTCTTCATGTTCATCTTCTTTATGTTCATCTTCTTCCTCTTATTCATATTTTTTCTTCCCACCACCTTAATCTTCTCCCTCCAATCTCTGCCCACTTTCACCTTCTTTTTCAAGTCCGTTTGACTCCATTTCCGCCGGCTTCGTCGGCGAAATTAAACGAAAACCCTAATAACTAAAGGAGAAATTAATGGCATGGTTAACCTTAATGGGTAATTGAGTTTTCCTTCCTCCATTAAATTAGACTTTGCACCACCATTTTCGGTGGTCTCGTCGTCGAAATTAAACGAGAACCCAAATAATAAAGTGAGAATAACGGGCATGGTTAACCCTAAAGGGTAGATAAGCTTTTCTCCCTCCATTAATTTCGACGTCATATAGTGAAAAGGTGTACTTTCCACCATCGAAATTAAAGGTTGAAAGAGGAGAGATAAAACAACAAAAGGTTGAAGGAGGAGAAAGAAAACCAGAAAATACCAAAAGGTTGAAAGAGGAGAGAGAAAACAACAATTAACCAAAGTTAGATATAATTTATATATACACCCCTTGACAATTCTTGTTTATCAAATATAAACTTGTATTTTCTCTTCAAATATCATCTTAATGTTTAATCCATTGAAATTTGAACAACATTACGGAAATAAAAATGCCAATGAAATTTTAAAACCGTAGCATGTATACAATTTTTTTTTTGTTATTGACAAAATATGTACAAGTTACAAGTTCAAATCCCCCTCCGCACTTAAAGTCGTAATTTGTGTTCGCTCTACAATGCACTTTTTTCTCATCCTGACCACACGCCAAAAAAAAAAAAAAAAAAACCGAGTACGTTCTGAACAAAGCCCATCAGATTAATCTGTACTTCAGTACACTGGTAAATAAACCCCTATATATTTTATTTTTTCAAGGTTTTATTTATATACTTGTAGACGTTGTAGTCCATCCTTCTTCTCTTTCCCCCTTTTCTCCTTATAAACCCTAAAATCTTCCGAACCCACACAAATTTCAATCGGAGTTTCGATTTTCCGGCAAAATGGCTTCCAAATTCAAGGCGGATGGTCCTCACGGCGATGGCGCTAGCCCTGGGTTCGAATTTTCCCCCCTTTTTGCAATAATTTTCATATTTTTTTGCTTAAATTCTTCTTCTTTTTTATTTTTTAATTTTGATTTTTGTTTGCAGGAAGATATTCATTGGCGGGCTTCCCAAAGATACAACTAACAGTGAGTTCGTATTTCTCTACTGTTAATTACTTTATTTTTGTTATTTTTTTTTTAATTGTTGAATTCTTACTTATTTTCCCTTTTTCGATTTTTGTATCTTGGTTCTCAAATTATTTGCTTTTTTTAATATGATTTGATATTAATATACTCTGTAATAATTAAATACATGCAATTTAACTATTCGTCTATTCATGAATTAGTGTTTTTTTGGTGGGATTTGAGCTTGTAATTTAATTGTAGCCATGGCGGTAGAAAAATTATATATTTCTGTAGGAAGAATTTCCAATTTTCCAAATTTGTTATGTTTTGTGGTGAATTTATTGATTTGGATACTCGCTATGTTCGTTGTCCGAATTTCGAACTGGTGAAACTGTTCAGGGCATGGAAATGTTTAAATGTAAGAGTAAAAAGACCCTTTTCTAAATTAAGTTATGATTTTATATGTTCGTTTCTAATTTTCTGAACCAAGGATGCAGTGACCTTTTTTTGTTTGGGTTAAAAGTTTTAGATTTTTGCCTTGTTAATTGTGTATTCATGTGTTTGTCTGGCTGATTTATTGTGAAATTTTATATTTATTGTTAGTAATTCTTACAAGTCTTATGTTTCTATTTGTTTTGGTGTGAAATAGCTACATTTATCAAGCACTTTGGGAAGTATGGTGAGATAACAGACTCGGTTATTATGAAAGACCGTTACAGTGGGCAGCCAAGGGGATTTGGATTCATCACTTATGCTGATCCATCGGTTGTCGACAAAGTTATCGAGGATACTCAAATCATTAATGGGAAACAGGTATTGTGGTGTAGTTCTGTGGATTAGTGGTGTTTTTGTAGTTCAAAGTACTATTCTCTTCATCATGTGTTGAATTTTGTAAAAGGTTTAATACTTTGCCAATTTATTGTTGATTTGTGTCTGCTGTTAGTTTACTTGTGTTCTTTGTTACAAGGTTGAGATTAAGCGTACTATACCCAAAGGTGCTGCTCAGTCAAAGGATTTCAAGACAAAAAAGATTTTTGTTGGAGGCATTCCTTCGAGCGTCTCAGAAGGTATGCTGTTTTATTTGTTTTTATCCTGATCGATATTTGTACATTGAGTATTAGATAAAAGCATGCATGTGGTATCCATCTTTTTCATGTTCATATTTAAATGCTACTCAAAGTTAAGACCTGACTTGAAAATCTGAATAATTTTGGATTGCTCAGATGAATTCAGAAACTTTTTCTCCGAGTTCGGGGCGGTGACTGAACACCAAATTATACGTGACCATGAGACTAATCGTTCTCGCGGGTTTGGATTCATTGTATTTGACAACGAAGATGTGGTTGATGAAATACTCTCCAAGGGTAATATGATTGACATGGAGGGTACTCAGGTGAGCTCAACGTACTTTTCTGTTTGGAAAACCCATGTTAATAGGAAATGTTTTTATTTATTGTGCTTGTGGGTTTGTCTGCATTCTATTTTCATCCGTGAACTTTACGAACCTGTTTTGAGCTGAGAATCAATTTTCATTGCTGAATGCTCAATTTTTAATCTTCTTTTTAAGGTTATTTAGTTTGTAGTCATGGATATCGTCTATAGTTCTATACAGATATAGATTGCGCCATAAGAGGACTCTCATCTTAGTTTGATGGAGCAGGCTTTAGGTTAACTGAGTTGCTTTGTTGTAGGTGGAGATCAAGAAGGCCGAACCAAAGAAACCCACAAACCATCCTGTAGCTCCTACTTATGGTAGCAACACTAGGAACCGTTCTTATGGGGATGGTTATGCTGGTTATGGAGCCTCTTATGGGGCTTTTGATGGTGGGTATGGTGCAGGTAATAACTATAGGATGTCTGGAGGTGTTGCTGGTAGGCTTGGGTATGGAGGCTATGGTAGTGGAGGGGAATATGGTAGAGGATATGGTTCTTTTGGCGGTGGTAGTTTAGGGGCTTATGGAGGAGAGTCATCCCTTGGGTACTCTAGCAGATTTGGTCCCTATGGTGCAGGATTTAGTGGTGCTTACTCTGGTGGCAGCTTAAGTGGATATGGTGGAAGTGAAGGTTATGGTAGCTATGGAGCTTCAGGCTATGGCGGCAGTTATGATTCCGGCGCTAGTGCTGGTTATGGTGGTGCTAGTGGGTTCTATGGTAAGGGAGGCTATAGTGGAAGTAGTCGGTATCATCCTTATTCACGGTAGAAAATCAGTGTTCTTAAGTTCGAGATAGGAGCTGTCCTTCCTATTATGCCTGGCCTGATAGGTACTACCCCGACGAGAATTAGAGATGCTTCCTCAAGTGCTTAAGGCATTAGAAGATCTGCTTTTATTAACGTCTTTATTATTGTGGTTTAGACAACTATGTAGTATGAATTGAAGAATTTGGTGTTAACCTTGTTCTAGTATCAGTATCTTATGTGGATTTTTGATGCTAGATGAAGTTTATCTTAATTTAGATAGATATTGGTGCAATTATTTTGATACATAGCTTTTGAATGCAATCCTTGATTGGAATGATTTAGAGGGGCTTAAGTATTTGCCAATGGGTATCTGCCAGTGTTTTCTACTGTCACCTGATTTTTTATAGAGATTATATTTTTCATTATTATTGTTTTCGTTTTGTACATGTGCTCGTAAATCCTTTGTAATACTAGTATTATTGTCAGATTTAATGTGCAGCTTCTTTGTTCATGAGTTGGCCTAGACTCTGAATGCATGTTGTGTTGTTCTATTTGCTTTAATATTTTGTAGCCTGGCTATATACTCTAGTTGCTTCTGTTATAATACATTTCTGGGATATTGTTTTTGCTTGATATTGGATTTATCTAATATCAAACTGCTTGTCCCGGTCTATGAATGTTTAATGCTGAGTAATAGAGGCTTTTAGCTCATATTGGGGTTGAAGTTATGGAGTTGTCTTGCCATGCAGCTCAGATTTACCTGAGACATGACATTATGGTTATGAGAACTTACGGTATGATTGTAGCTTTGCCCTTTTTGTGCAATGGGGTAGTAGCATAATAATCTAACTTTATGCAAGTCAATTTCTTCATCATTTCTATTTTTATGTACAGAACTAATACCTATCTATTCAGTGTCTCGTATCTGGATTTTTTTTGCACTTCATAGTTTGGATTTTTGATTACTAATGTGGAGATGATTGGAGCCTTCAATCACCCAAAAGAAACAGCTTTCAGTTTTTGGTATGATTATTTGATTGTCTAGCTTGTTAATAGGAAAATTTTCAACTATGCTTTGTATAAATTATTTGTTTGACGAATCTACATTATTCATTTGTTTGTTAGATTAATTGTATTTTGCTAATTTTACTTTTTTTTTTTTTTAAAAAAAAAAAATCTCATTATTGAATATTAAATTGAAGGATGATTAATTTCCTCTCTTATATTGTGATTTTACATAAAATATTCTTCTTGACCCTCTTCCCATCATACTATTTAGGTAAAGTAGATTAATTTTTTTGTTTAAAATAATTACTACATGAATCATCATGTAAAAACAAGGATGCTTTGTTTCAGTTGGGCCATTTATAATATCCGCGATCTCATGCAAATTAAAGTTCCACCTCCGAATTACCTTGCGTTGACATCACATCGTGTTTACCTAAAAGTTGCACCTTAATTCAAAATTTACCCCATGTCTCCCACTAATGGCTACTATCCTCTACTATTAACTCTTAATTGTTTTTTTTTTATTTATTATTATTATTATTATTATTATTATTATTATTATTTTTAATCTTTTGTTTTTTCTAATTGATTAAAAGTACTATAAAATTCTTTTTTTTTTTTTTTTTTTTTTGAATAAAAGCCCCAAAGGAGCACTAGCTTTCATTTATAACTTGCAAATCAGAAGACAAAGCAGAAGAAATAGCAACAGGAAAGTTATTAAACCAATACTTCCTACCCAACTCACTCAAAGGCTCATGAACTAAGCAATGGGCCACCTGGTTACCCATGCGCCCAACCCAACCCCAAGAAATACTAGAAAAATTACAAGCTAACTGGTGAATATCTTCCAAAATTAAGTGCAGAGAGCTACGCCCCTCCTCCCTGCTATTTATAGCATTAATGACTGGTTCACAGTCACCTTGAATTATCACAATAGTGTGATCCATCTCCTTAGCTACTTCCATACCCATCAGCACAGCTCTCGCTTCAGCACATCTCGGCTCCCATTCATCACCCAACCTCTCTCTAGCACAACACAAAACAGCTCCCTCTGCATCACGAGCAACGGCACCAACACTACTTCCCAGCATACCCAAGCAGCCTACATCAACATTAATTTTAATTCTTCCAGCAGGGGGCACCTTCCACACAGCAGCAGGCTTCACAACATGCTGCTGAGCACGATCAGAACCCACACCCTCCATCTCAATCATGAGCTTTCCCACGTATTCTAGCACTTCATTAGGACCCTTCCACTCATTTTCAAACAAACCACGATTCCTAGCTCCCCAAAAAACCCAGCATAGAACCATTACCCATCTTCTTTCATCTTTATCCAGGTTCTTAAAAACATTTAAGACCCAATCCAGTAAGTTTCGCCACCTCTTATCCACCACCCCACCAAATCCACTTGCACACCAGAAGTTGCTAGCCCGAGAACACCATAAAATAGCATGACCAACACTCTCCTCTTCCTCACCACACACACTACACACTGCAGGAACATCAGGAATACGAGTATGCAGTCCCTTACTCGTATGTAAAGCTTCATGACATGCCCTCCAAAAGAATACCTTTATATGGGGAAGCACCGGTTCACTCCAAACAAGATTCCAGACACGTTTCATTTCGCCCTCACTAGAAGCACTGCACTCCTCATCCAAATTACCAAAGATCAGCTTGTAAGCAGACCGAACAGTATACAACCCTCTCTTATCTGGATCCCAACAAATGCTATCACTTTGCTCAAGGCGGCTTAGAGGAATAGCAACAATACGGTCTCTCACGAATGGGAGGAAAATATCCATCGCGATAAGATTAATGTCTCTTAATTGATCTTATACTTAGAAATTGAATTTGCATAATTGATTTTATTATTTTCAGAGCTAACTAATCTATGGTTGTGGATTTAATACTGTAAAATTCTCGCAATAAACGCATAATTAGACTAAACCAAAGCTAATGCATAAGTAGAAATTCGTCTAGATAGTGATCTCAATGCGAGAAAAAAAATCGGGAGGGTTGAAGTTTGATTAGAAATTGAATATTAGTGTTTTTTTTCTTGTACCAACTCAACAAGGTGAGATCAATTCAAAACTCCCATCTCATTCCTTGTTTTTGTGCATGAATATGATCGATTTGGGGTTTTTTTTTTTTTTTTTTTTTTTTTTTTTTTTTTGGTGACGGGAACGGATATGATTTGTTAAGACAAAGCTATACTAGAGATCTAATCAATATATGGGATAGTAACTAATAAAAATCATGAAAAGTAGATATTGTAGGATTACACTTTGATACGGATCAAATAATGTGCCTCATGACTATGATTCAAAAATTTACCACTCTATGAATCAGTGATTCACTGGAAAAACTACTTCATTGGGAATTAAACCTATTTTAATTTTGGGTTTTTTCTCATGCTGGTGTCTAAACTACAAACCAGATTAGCCCCGATATTTCAAAGGTTTACTAATTAAATTGTTGGTCTTATACTCCGTTTATTCACATGGATGTCTTGCACGATATAATTATTTTACTCTTAAGCAATTTTAACTTGTACTTTCTCAGTTCCTAAAAGTTTGACTCACTTTGTATTTGCGCGATCTCCAACAAACATCTTTGACTATGAATATCTTCGGCTAGTATTAGTGAAAATTGTAAAATGTTGTGATATTTGAAATTCTTTTTAATAAGGGGTATCTATTAAGATCTCACATGCTAATTTAGTTCTACTGTATAAATCATAGAATATGGTAATTTATTTTGACCATATGAATAGTAAATGAGTTGAACTTTTGTTGTTTAGAGAGCCACAAGAGCGGGAGTGAGAATCGATCCCAAATCTCCTGAAACCGGGAGAAAAGCTCTAAGCACTTGAGCTATCCCTCACTCTCGTATTGCTAGTATTGTGACTCTTATTAAGAAGCTACACCCTAATTGGAGTAATGCAACAATCAAATCCGCAATCATGACTACCGGTATGCTACATGCATTACACGTACCACACGTGTGAAATGTACAGTTTAATAGTTGTGTGTATGATGAGACCTAACCTTCTACATTGTATTGATGCAGCAAGTCCTTTTGACAATAATGGTATTTCAATACGTGATAGCGATAAGAAGAGGGATGCCAGTATGCCACGCCTTTAGATAACGGGTCAGGTCACGTGAGACCAAACATAGCAATGGATCCTCGGCTGGTTTATGATATGGACTTCTATGATTACCTTAATTTCCTTTTGTGGTGTACCTCATAATAGTACAACTTTTGAAAAATTTAGCCAACAACATCCTTACGAATGCCCGCTCTCCTTTAACATCTTATCCCTCCATTTCTATTACTGACTTCGCTGATAATGTGATAATTACAAGAATGTTGAAAAATGTTGGACAACCAGAAACCTATAGACTTTGGTGTTCTCCAGAAAAGATCAAACCAAATCTATCAACTTAATTTCACAATTGATGCTAATCATCTCCCCATTGGTACATTTTTGGAAGTTTGGTATGGTCGGATGCTAAACATGTTAAAAGTCCTATTATGGTCAAGGCCAGAAAGAGCTAAGCTATAATTATGTACCATTTCTAATTGTATCACTCTATTTTATTGTAATAAAGGCAAGATCTTTGTGAAGGTACGTAAGCCCTACTCCATGATATTGTATTCAAGGCAAGATCTTCGTATAGGCACATAACCCCCTCTAATTTTTTTAGCTAGTAGACATAGAGAATATGATGTATGATTGTATGAATTATCGATAGCAAAGATATCTATAATTTTAATTAGAGGTTTAAAGTCCGAAACTTGTCTTGGCTCTAGATCCGCCTCTGTATTGTATTATACTAGTATAAATTGAGCTTATAATCACAATGAATTTCTATGCAACAATGCAACCATCGTAATACAACATTCATTATCACAAAATGAATCACAAATTCTTAAATGTGGTTGGCCACACGGCCATCATAAGGGTTAATTCTTTAATGCTACAGGGGTTACTCGATCAATGTAACAAGGATTACTTCGTCAGAGTTTATTTGATCATTGTTTTAAGGGTTACTCGATCAGTATTATAGGGGATACTTGATCAGTGTTATACGAGTTACTTTATTAAGTGACCACATAGTGTAGGCAGCTGCCCACAACACATGCTAAATATGAATTGTTTGACAGAGTAAACTTCCTCTATTCTTGTTTACTTCACCTACTTTGGCTTTTGCACTATTCATTCACACACGCATTTTGGACTTTTTATTTTTTTTATTTTTTTATGTGATTTATATCTAAGGTAAAACATAGTCATATAGAATTTTGTTTAAATTGTCTCAATGAATCCTATCATAATAAATTTATGCATCGACAACGTGATAAATTAAGTAGGTCAAGTAAAAAAACTGATTACCTTATTTTTCAACTTTTTAGTTGAAAGGGCCTTGAGTCCAAGTTTGCAAAAGAGGCTCAAAGCCAAGCCTCATAGGCAAGCCATAGCCATCCACAAAGTAAAACTATTGCCAAAAAAAAAGAAAAAAAAAATTAAAAAAAGGGAAAAAAAAAAATCAGCTTTCTCTAATAAACCCTAGCCATTATTGAGGAAGGAGGAGAAAAACCCTAAACCCCTCTTTCAATTTGTAGTCTCTTTCTCTCTCCTCAGAAAAGTAGCAGAAATGGTTGCAATAGCAGCGAAGAAGAAGAATGTCGAGAATTTCATTGCCAAAAAGACTAAAAAAGATGAAGCTCCGGTAGTGAAGAACACGAAGAAGAACAAAATTGATGATATATTATCTGGAGATGATTCTGAACAAATTGATGAGTTTGAAACTGAAAGTGGAAGTTCATCTGATGATTCAGAAGATGATAACCTACTTAAGGATGATTTCCTTGCAGGAAGTGGAAATGATAATGAGGACGACGATGATGAGGAAGAGGAAGAAGGAGGTTGAATTTTTACTATTGTTCTTGTTAATTTGATAATTTTTAATATTTTTCTTGTTGATTTTAGGAAAAAAGAACCCTTTTCGTTTTGAATTTGTTATTGATTAGTTGATTAATTTGGGTTTTTTTGGGTGTTATTTAATTGTAGTAACTATAA